CGGCGGCGAAGTGGTGGCCTGGACTTTGTAACCCAGGAAGAGAAAGCGCGCGGGTACCTGAGGGTGCCATAAACTAAGCCCTTTCCCCGGAAAGTCGAACGAGGGGGCTCCAACGGTTTTTCGGAGCGAATACGACGCGGAGAGGACACTTTGGAAATAGATTTCGAGCGAGACGGACACCGATGAACTTAGCAGTCGCTTGTTTTAGCTGCCGGGACCCGAAAATTGACAGAGATACGAGCAGATAAGTACTTGAAACCATGGTCAGGACCGTACAAAGAATTCTTCTATCCAGCGAAAGTCAAACTGATTCTAATATATTTACTGAAAATTGAGTTCAGCTAGGACAATTTAGGGTTTTTTTCTTCTGGGAAAAGCCGCATTTGGAAGTACGGTTACAAGATGCAGATAGAAAATGCAAAAGGATTGTGTAGCTTTAATATTAACATATTTTCCATTTGTAAATGAAATACCATTTTCTACTTGAAGTACCAAATCATATGCTACCATTCGTTTATTGTTGGAACCCTCAAACAGACTGCAACACACGGCCTTGAGTGCCGCAACATCAATCGATGCCGATTCTTGAGAATTTAATTTACGACCTCGCTATATCGTGGCTCCAACTATACTTAAATTGTGCTTACACAAGCCTTCAAAATCAGGTGTTCCATATTAGCAGCAAAACAAGGACCTCCTCCCAATAGCTACCTTTTCGTCTCCTCCGGACCCTGGTCTCGCTGAGGAGGTCGACTCGGCTTTCCAGCCGCTGGAATCGGTTTGGGTCGATCGTCCTCCCGCAGTCCGGGGATTCCTCGCGGATAACCGGCTCTCTCCGGCGAACCTTTCCGCGGAGAACCGCCGCGAGATCTGGGAGCCGAGCTGGTGAATCTGTCGAACCGAACGTCATCAACGACATCCTGCGCTACCATACTAGTCACCTGCTCTTTGTCGATGAATTCGCTCGTTCTTGACTTAGTGACATCTCTCTGTGAACGAAATAGAACGGAACCATGGTCAGCACAAGTTGAAACAACGAATACAATGTCTTCTATGTAGAGAAACAAAGAGAGGGAGGACTGATAACGGAGGAGGAAGGTCGATAAAGTTGGAAACATTATTAGCGCGAGCTCACGTTCAATTCAATTAATTCGAGTGGCTGTGTGCTGTTAATATAACCATAGATGACTCTCTTGCGTTAGAAAATTACAACCTGGAAGCCGGCTGCATACTCTCTTCGCCGTTCAACCGAGCCGAGATAAATTAGAGAGTATCGTAATGTTGTTAGTCTGAGTGTCACTTTGTCTAATGGATCGCATATTTTACCCTTAACACTCTGCGTCCGGAATTTCTCGCTCTTTAAACGCCTTTTATCGGATCTACCAGAGCCCGGGGTTGAATAAATTTCCTCTGCCAATGAACTCCTCGCTGCGAAGACAATTACGAAAGATCCTGCTAATCGATTGGCATCACCTTGGTAATTACAGTCTACTTTCACGGCCAGTTCCAAGCAACGTCTTGTTCTCTGTACGTGAATTTATGCGAATTGTGTGAATGAAAAAAGAAGAATTGCGTGGTTACGAAACGTCGTAGATAAATGTTGCGGGAATAACAAGGAAGAAAACAGAAGGGTTTATTTATAGAGTATTACGTGGCGGCGTTGCGTCACAATCGGCTTTAACGTTGAAGATAAAAATTCACCGGGAAGCGATTAGCTCCTCGTGGAACAAGTATCTGCATAGTTCACGGTTAAAGACACAGCACCGACAAGCGACATGCTCGAACGCGATTCGACCCGCGGCTCACGGTGCGTAGGATCGTTCGAGTTCGCTGAAACGTAACCTTTTGTTTGACTTCCGCCTCGCGCCGATGATTTTCGATTAAATCAACGAGTCGCGCGGTGTCCGACCGGTGTACGGTGGATTCTTCAGTTTGCAGATTTTCCAACGGATTTTTCGGTCTCCGGCTGTAACGATCGCGAAGGAAGAGAAGATTTTTCTTGTCGATTTGGAAGAGCAATGGGAAGCTTGGCGGAGAGGGAGGAGAGAGGGTTGGATTTTTTTAATTGTTTTCTTTCGTTTTTTAGATTGCGTTATTTTTCCTGATATGGAAGAAAAAAGTTGTAGTGTTATAAATAATGGGAAGCTTGTATTATTCAAAGTTTGGGAGTTAGAGGCCAGTGAGACTGCGGATCTAAAGTTTAGAGCTTTAAATAATGGGAAATTTCATTCTGTAGATCTAGGAAATATTAAAAAAAAAATGAAACTGATCTTATTTGCATATCAAGTTGAGAAAAATTTGAGAGATCAAGGATTGAAGCGGTTGGCCAGTAATGCTAGAGATCTGAAGATCGCGAGTTCAAATTTAGAAAATTTATGGGGAAATAATGGGAAACTTACTTCTACAAACCTAGAGAATAATTGAAAAAAAAATAAGATTGAGAAAAATTTGAGAATTAAAGGGTTAATGCGGTTGGCCAGTGAGACCACGGACCTGAAGTTTACAGCTTTAAATAATGGGAAATTTAATTCTACAGATCTAGAGAATAATTGAAAAAAAGATAAAATTGATCTTATTTGCATATCAAATTGAAAAAGATTTGAGAATGAAAGGGTTAATGCGGTTGGCCAGTGAGACCACGAACCTGAAGTTTACAGCGATATAAATAATGAGATATTTATTTCTACAAACCTAGGGAAAATTTAAAAAAGTAAAATTGATCTTATTTGCATATGAAATTGAGAAAAATTTGAGAATTAGAGTTAAAGCCTAAAACCTAAAGATCACAGCGATATAAATAATGGGAAACTTATTTCCACAGACCTTGGAAAAAATGAAAAAAAAAAGAAGATAAAATCAATCTTATTTGCATACCAAATCGAGAAAAACGCGAGAGTTAAAGGGTTAAAACAGTTGGCCAATGACGCAACTTCGAAACCCTCTTTTCCCCAAGGACTCGGTAAATTTCCCTCGCCCAACAATTACAAAAGAGAGAAAAGAGAAAAAGGGTAGAAAAAGAATGGAGGGGAAAGAGGAGTAGGGTAGTTAAGAGTTAATCGCCGGCAGACTCGATTTCGCGGCACGTTAGACGGAAAATTGAAGAGCAGCCTCGTTCTCTCCATGGTCGTCCGTTAATTATCGACATGAAACGCGCTGCATAATGAATACCACGGTTATCCTAGATTAAAAACGACGACGGTGCTTAGCTGGACGGAATGCAGGTAATGCGAGATCGAACGCAGATGGCGTTTATGCATACGCCTGCATCGTATCGCATAACCAGAGCCACTCTTGCACCCTGAACATACTACTACCGCTACCAATACTCCACCTCTTCCTCGCCCTCCTCTTGGAGGGTTCAGTTTCCACGTCGAGTGCCGTCGAACGTGTCCTTATAAGAGCTGAACGGCCACGCGCGCGTGGAATACTCCAAAGGGATTTATTTTCCGAGAATTTTCACGGTAGAATTCCACTTAACGACGAAACGAGAGATTTTCAAACGGGGAATTATACCGGAGGGAACAAAGAAGCTAGATTAAAAAATTCTTTGGTACCCAAACCTATTCAATTATCGATCCTACTGTTGGATTAGCTAATTTTCCAATCGACGGGAAAATTAAGAGGGATTGTTGAACGATTTCGAATGGAATGGTATAGTCGGTGGAAGAAATATAGCCAGGACGTGAATTGAAGCATCGAGTGGGGGGTGTAGCTTGATCTAGATGTAGTTAAGATTTAGAATATGTAAAATAAAGGACGACAAGTGACGACTGGCGATATTTTATGTAGTATACTTTGACTGCGGCGCACTCTCGCGCAGAACCATCGGTATAGACGGCGCGATATGCGCAATTTTTATTACCGGATTTACCGAGATTTTCTTGACAGTGTAGCGACCAGCTACACATCATAAACCAAGGGTTTCCGAAAGGTCCGCCGTACGAGGCCCAGACCGGCAGGTCACGAGTACTTGACCTGGAGGAAACTCAGCTGTGTCGTCAAATGGCGTCACGGGAAAAACCTCCCCCGCCAAGTCGCACTGCGGTCCCCGAAAAAGCGCGCCAAGGGCGCAAGGGACACGGAGCGACTCGGAAAGAAATTACCTGATTGGTTAACACCGATGCGACGGGTTAACCAATCAGGGATGATTAACACGTAGCCGAAAGGCGGTAAGAAAAAAGCGAGGCGACAGGAGGGCAGTCTTGCACGGACCTCCAAAGCCGTAGGTTAACAACTAATAAAAATCTCACTACTACCGTGTGGGTACATAGCGTAACCCTAGTCACGCCTTGCTATTTATTCGTAACCAACTTCCTTCAACACAAATTTGTTTCCGTTTTACAGTCGCATGCAACGAAGGACTTAATGCCAAATCGATTGCGTTTAGACGGAATAAATTTAAGACGGAACGATAATTAGCCTTCGTCGATACAAATATTCTGAAAAAGAGAGAAATTCTTTTTAAAAACAATCGAAATCTGCCATTTAGTTGACGAATTTTGAACAGTTTATCTCGACAGTTTGGTACTTTGTAGGCACTGCGTTAAGTTTAACAGTGAAGGTGTTACAGTAAGAAAAATGTAGAGGGCCTATATTTACGCCTTTCGTAGTCAAAGGGTTAATGTTCGAAGTTTTTTTCTGTGCTTGACGTGTCACAAAGCTGTGTAGACAGTGTAGACCAATGTAGATCAATTTACTAGTCGAGTTATAAGAACGTGGAACTGACACGGAACGGAGCAAACGACACAAACGATAATCATTGGAAGAAAACAGTAGATGAAGCGATAAAAATTGCTTCAGGAACAATTTTAGAAGAATTTCAAAGACGACAGAGCCAAATCCTTATTTTCTCATATTTCTCTCGTTAGAACACTCGAAACATGTCCACTTGGACTCCCGACCGATTAGCTCCCTATATTTTTTCCATCGACTATACTCTTCGAACGCAACAGGAACTTCCGTCCTTTTCAGCAGATGAATTTCCAGGTCGTGGAAACATGCCACAAAGCGCGGTTGCGACTAGTCTCGGATAGTTCTTGCTTCGCCTTTGGATTTCCGGTCACTGTGCACACCGACCTTTTCGATCGTTAACACGTTCACCGAGCGCGAACCAAAAGCGGATTATCAATAGATCTTCAGATCCAGCCAGTCTCGGAACGCCTCCGCTCGAAGCGCACAAGTTTCTCTGCATCTCACGCGTCGCTATACTCGACAGAGAATCACACGCGAATTTTCTATTCATGGTATAGTTGTGGATATCGCAGAGACTGGGCAAGTGTAATTTGAAATAAAACGGAACTGTGTATACATTTAAACTTAACATTATTCCACACCGGTCCACGTTGTTGCTTCTCAAAACGAACATGTCTCTACGCTGTTTTTCACAGTGACTGTTCCACTCTGACCTCGCGCATGCATCTTCCAGCCTCTTTTATTCTTGCACTCGTACATTCTCTCTATCTCTCTCTATTACTATTTTCGTCTCATTCTACGCAGATATGCCTCGGAGACATTCAGTCACGTCAACCCAAATCCTTGGGTGGCCACGCAACCTCCGTTCACACGAGATTCTCAAGTATAGTTGGTGGAAGCGATATAGCGAGGTCGTGAATTAAAGAATTAAGCAGTGACGCACAGGGTCGTCTGTCATTTATGAATTGACGTCCAAAATATCTGCTTACGATCTTTCTTTCAAGACGTTGACTGCCAACGAATTTTCATTATTCTAAGCATAATATTATTTTTTTTTTTTAATTCAAAATAATGCCTGGTTAGCTACGATGTTGAACATTCTGAACATTTGAGGCACTCCGGTCACCGACGATTACCATGGCCCCATCGAGGAAATAATCACAGGTGACCAACGTGGCAGTCAATGCTAAGCTATACAGTATTAAGCCCCAGTCGCCTCCTGCTCAATAGTGTGGGATTTTGTTTTGGACTTGCGATTGAGGCTCGGAAAGTGTATTTAAAATAATAGCAGTAATAA